TAACGAGACCAGAAATATATATTTTTAGCCATGTTGCATAAAATTCCACCATTTATCAAGGAGAAATATTGGGGCATTATGTTATATGGACATTAGCACAGTTATTGGAAAAGCCACGTTAAAAACACAACTTCTACATATATTTATAATATAGCAATTATATAAATATATAATCCTCAACAGAAGAAAACACCATTAACATGACTTCCCCAGTCCCTGCAGCAACGGACCTCAAACCATCCCTTCCTCGCAGTAACTTATTTTAAAGTAAAGTCTTGTTAAAAGTCTGCTTGGAACCTGTTCTAAACCTTGTACATTTCCTCCATAATTATTTCCTTATCTCCAAACAAAACTTGAATTCTTCCTCCACCTTACATCCGCCTTAACTTACAGTTAAGTTAACTGGGAACCATTCTTACAGGGACGTGTACTAGAAAATTCATACAGTTAACTGGGAGCCATTCTTGCTTTATTTAAGTTACATCTTTTTGGGTGAAGCAACAGGTTGATTTGTCAGTCTCTATCATTTCCAGTAATTTTATTAACCAGTCACCTGCCATTTAATGATTATGAAACAATAAAAGAAACTATAAATAAATATAGCTTAGCCCAAGAGGCCTCTTTCAAAGAGCAGCAAGGCTTCCAAATCTGCAGAGAAGATGTAGAATGGAGGCATAGCAAAGCAACTCCGTGGAGCCCCAAAAGTGAGCGCTCCCTATTATGAGATGAGGCGGGAGAGGCCTAAATTCCCCCAAAGGCACCAGATCCCAATTTGGAAACTAAACAGGGTCAGCCCTGGTTAACCCTTAGATGGGAGACCGCCAACAAAGCCCAGGTGCTGTAGGATATTTCAGAGAAAGGCACTGGCAAAGTCACTTCTGAGTCTTCCTTGCCTAAAAAAACCCCTATATATGAGATTTATTAATCACCATTAAGTGAACAGGAGACTTGAAGGAACATATACATGCACAATCCTCTTTTTATGCCATTTTGGCAAATAAAGAAAGCCCCCAAGCAGTATCCAAAGGAACAGTAATGAGTGGGGTATAAATACTCCAAATAAATGATAAATAAATACATAATAATAATTTATTTATAGACCACCTCTCCCTGAAGGATCGAGGCGGATAACAATCATAAAATATCAATGACATTAAACATAATTCCCTAACCCCTGATTAAAACAGAAAAATCACTAAAATCAGTCTAAAATTAACCCTCATTAAAAAAAGGCATTGTGGGATGAGTAAATGAAGGCAGATAATTATTATTATTTTATTATTATTATTAGATTCAGCCTCAGGCTTCCTGAGATTCAGGGTGTGTTCCTGAGATACAGGGTAGAAATAATGTAGTTTGATACCACTTTTAACTGCCATGGCTCCTTTTACAGAAAAGCAGGATTTGTAGTTTTGTGAGGCATCAGTACTCTCATAAATGTAAAAGACAAGTTGCAGCAAAATGGAGAATAGTCCAAGAGAAATGTGGAACATTATGAAATAATAGCTAAAAACCCCAGTATAACTGTAAATGCATCCTTTAAAGTCATGCTCAAAATGGAGGACATTTTGAAATTCCTCATGACCAAAAAGTTGAAATGTAGGACATGTCTTGGAAACTCCAGTATAAAAGTAAATTCATGCTTTTAAGTCATGCTCAAAATGGACATTTTGAAATTCCTTATGAACAAAAAGCTGAAATGTAGGACATGTCTTGGAAACCCCAGTATGAAAGTAAATTCATGCTTTTAAAAGTCAGGCCATGGTTGCCTCCTAAGATCTAGCCTCAAAGGGAGGAGGGCTTGTAATAAACCTTGGTAAGCAAAGGACCTAGCTAGGCCTAAACAAAAAGTAAGCCTGAAGCCTCACAGTGTGATTTAGAAAAGTAAATTGAGCTTAACAAAAACTGAGGTTTTGAGTGAAAACCCTGTAAGAGTACTAGCCCTAAAGAGTAAGAGTATAAAACATTCCTTCAGAGGTTCTGAGCAATTCTGAGAAGAAAACCATGAGGCGTTTACATTTATAGGGTTTCTCTTGGCCAATGGGAACTGAGTAAGTGGAGAGACCTGATTGGCCCTCACACTGACAGGGTTTCTCTTAGCCAATGGGAGCTGAGCAGGTGGAGAGAATTGATTGGCCCTCACACTGACATGGTTTCTGCCTGTGAAGGCATTTTGTAGCACCATTGAAACTAACTGGGCAAATAAAATAGTAGAATAAAGGCCTTTGCAGACTGCCAGAAATAGTGCAAACTGAGTCCACTTTAACTGCCCTGGCTCAGTGCTAGGGAATCATGGGAATTGTATTTTTTTTTTTTGAGACATTGAGCCTTCTCTGTCAGAGAGCTCTGGTGCCACAATAAACTACAGTTCCCATGATATAAGTTAGCCAGAAAAAGGGTAGAAGGGGTTAGGAAAATAAAAGAAACTTGACTTCAGGAGAGTAAGGGAAGGGGGAGAAAGATGGAAGTGTTTTCTAATATTTTTTGAAAAGGCTTGGTTTGCCAGGGATGGCAACCAGCAGAGTTGTGGAAGGATTTGTTTGCTATTTGGCCCTATTTGCCTTGAGTGTTCACATTTGCAAACAGAAAGAAAGCATGAAGGGAAACTGTTGAGTTTACCTCGTATACCCACTTGTTATGATATTTTCCTTTTTGAATTTATATATATTTTTCTAAAGTGAACCATTACCTTGAAGGTTACATTTGCAACCAGAAAGAAAGCATGAGGGTAAACCCTATTGAGTTTACTTTATAAACCCACTTGTTATGATATTTTCCTTTTTTATGTTTACATTGAATGTTACATTTGCAACCAGAAAGCAAGCATGAGGGGAAAAAAACCCTGTTGAATTTCTCATATACCCACTTGTTATGATATTTTCAATTTTTAAAACTTATGTATTTATCTAAAATGAATATTTACCTTGAATGGAACCAGAAAGAAAGCATGAGGTAAA